CGAAAATTGGCTACAAATTGGGTACAAAAAAACAATGGCAATGGCAAGTGATAATTGACACATTTGATACACTTTAATCTTACCTACGCCACTCGGCTGCGTTTCAGATGGGGCTTGTGTCTCATCAGAATCAACCATTGGTTGGCTAGTGGCATTATGAGATGGTCCCACATTTGATGGGACGGGGAGAACACGAGATGGAGCAACGGGTGATCCTAAAGGAATAGTAGCTGGCGAGTCTGTTTCTGGCTGCGTGAGTGTCTTTTTCTGAAGCCGACCAGTCTTTAATCCAGGAACCATTTTCCAATCTGCCTGATGCCTAATGCTGGAACAGTGTTTTATGTTCTGGATTAAATTTGTGTCACATAAATAAACTGATAAAAATACATCACATGAATAACCTAATAAGTATACATCACACGAATAAACTGAAAAATAAACTGATAAACTGATGAATAAAAGAAAATAAGGTGGCAGCAAAAGAAACAAATTGTAGTTTTCAAAAGAAACTCATGAATAAACAATGGATTGGGAGCACACTCTTGGTTATAGTAGTTTTCAAAAGAAACAAATTGTTGGACTTATTGGGATTTAGTTGCAGCAAGCCCCAGTCTGAAACCATTACGCCATCAATTAAGTTAAAAACCAATATATATATATATATATATACATGTTCTAGAGATGCTCACACCACAACAACAGATATTAATACATCAAAGAAGATTAATAAAGCATACTGCTAAGTAAGTTCAATCTAATTAAGTAAACACCTAGTTTGTTATTAATAATAACATCAATAACTCCCAAGGTTAGTAGCTGACTCTAAAGCAGTACTTTCAAAGCCACCTGCAGCATTGATTCAAGGCATGTCCCAACCACCAAGGAAAACCACAGTGCATGGGTGAAGGGAACTACATAGGGCTTGGTTTCTTTTTCTGTGTTTTTTTATTTTTATTTACTTTTAGTTTTTAACCTATGGAGAAAGGAAGGGAGAATCAAATTCCACACCGAGCTCATCATTGAGACTAGAACTTCACAAATCACAACTTTTACACGACTAAAGAACTGTGCCTTCTACCAGGTGTAGTATGAAAACAAAGAAATACCCTCTAGTACAAGATTTGGTAACTATGGTTCAGGGCAGTGGTTAAAAGGCCATCTTAAGGCTGATTATAATAAGTGTTATATATATGAACTGTCTATTGTTCAACAGTTGTTGCACATTTTGTAGTGGTGATAGTTAAACTTATCAAATACACAATTGCGCCTAAACCTTAGCTGAACTTTACAAATCCATTGTTCGAATTTCCAAACGATTAGGTCAACAGGATGTATCCTTCGTCACATTTAGTTCTTGCAAAATGGTGCCCCCCGAACCCCTTTTTTCGACTAAGTTTATGACATTTTCAACTCTAACTCCCAACTCTAAGGATATATCCTTCGTCACATATAATTTTCAAAACGCCAAGAAATGCAATGTAATTGGACCACAACAACAACAAAAATAACAAAAAAAAAAAAAAAAAACCATACCAGGAGTTCTCAAAGATGAACACTCCCTGAGCAACTAGAAGGAAGCACACAAGACTATTCATCAATAAGTTCACTTATCAGATTTTCCAATTCAAACGAGTCACTCACACAACAAAATTTTGATTCATTGCATTAAGATCAATTTTAAGCACCTTCAGCAAAAAATTAAGTATTTTGACATCCCAACATCATCAAACATGTCAGCAGTTTGGAACAACTCTAGTCAAAAAAGCATCGGAAAATGCTATATTTAGTCATTTATTTGGTAGAAAATTTAGTATTCCTAACATTATCTAAAAGCATCGCCACACAAAAGCTCCTCAAAATAATAAGGTGGCAACAACAACATGCGTGCACACACACAAGTGATACCTGAGAGTTCTCAGAGATCCACACACCCACACACCTTAATCAACTAGAACGAAGCGTACAAGACTCTTCATCAATAAGTTCAATTATGTCAGCATTTCTGATTCAAATGAGTCGCACATAACAATTTTAATTCATTGCATTAAGAACAATTTTAGAAAAAAAGTACATTGAAAACTTTCCAAGAAACAGTAGTGGGAGGGGAAAAAATAAGTAAAATAAAACAATTTTCACATTTTCAAAAGTAGTGGATCCATCAAAAGGGAGAATGAAAAAAAAACCGAGAATGTATGAAAAAAGAAAAGAAAAGAAAAGAGAACCAATAACAGCAGCATTCTTGATCATCTGACCTTTTCATTTTACCAGATATCAAAATGGAAACCAAGAGTAAAATGAGTTTTTGAAACTTCTAAATATTTCAATTTCCCAGATTCCCAGCTGGAAAGAGGGTAATAAAATTGAGTTTTTAAAACAAAAATAAACCATAAGCTTTTTCCCTAATTTAAATTATCAAGCAAAATAAACAACCCAGCAAAACCAAATAATTTTCATATAAGTTCTCATCCAAGAGCTCAGGTCAATATATAAATCTTTGAATGAGAATATAATGCAAGTATAAGCTCTTTCACATTGCATAAGAAGCAATATTTCTCTTATGCAATAAATGGTTAAGTTAAACACAAAAGTTTCCTGGTTAAAAGGCATATGGGCCCAGTTATATTATAATGCCTAGAAAATCAAAGACCAAACATGGCATATGCAATCAAAGTCATGATCAAACAAACAGGTCAGAATATATATATATCCTCATTCTCGATCGAGAAGTCACCATATTTTGAGATATCAAGCTGAAAACCACCCTCACAAATCCGTAGGTAATAGATTTCTTTATCAAGTACAATTTCAATATCAGCTAATAACTGAGCTGTATGCAACCATTCACATGAAACCATTACGCCCTCAATTAAGTTAAAAACCAATATATATATATATACATGTTCTACAGATGCTCACCCCACAACAATAGATATTAATACATCAGAGAAGATTAATAAAGCACACTGGTAAGTAAGTTCAATCTAATTAAGTAAACACCTAGTTTGTTATTAATAATAACATCAATAACTCCCAAGGTTAGTAGCTGACTCTAAAGCAGTACTTTGAAAGCCACCTGCAGCATTGATTCAAGGCATGTCCCAACCACCAAGGAAAACCACAGTGCATGGGTGAAGGGAACTACATAGGGCTTGGTTTCTTTTTCTGTATTTTTTAATTTTTATTTACTTTTAGTTTTTAACCTATGGAGAAAGGAAGGGAGAATCAAATTCCACACCGAGCTCATCATTGAAACTAGAACTTCACAAATCACAACTTTTACACGACTAAAGAACTGTGCCTTCTACCAGGTGTAGTATGAAAACAAAAAAATACCCTCTAGTACAAGATTTGGTAACTATGGTTCAGGGCAGTGGTTAAAAAGCCATCTTAAGGCTGATTGTAATAAGTTTATGTTGTTACGTTGGTTGGTGAAAATACATGAAGCTGTAGGATTTGCTTTGGTGTATAAACTAGGTAAAGCTTTACAGCTTAGTAGCACAAGGCCATGAGTTTGGGGTTGTTCTTCATCAACATAGCAGTCGTAGGACAAATGGAGAGATTGACTAGTCTTGTTCAATTTTTATTGTGGGAAATTAAGGACATTAAGAAGCTTAAAGAAGTGCAGAAAATAAAGAGCCAAGAGTTAAGGGCAGTTCATGAACACAGTGGTCATTGGACAACCGAAGAGAACAATTAGGCTTCTTCAATCGGATTTGTTGGCTTAAAGAAATTCAGAAAATTAAGAAGTAGAACATATATCAATATAAAAAACTCACCCAGCAGCAAATTAACAAAAAAAGAGAGAATAAAATAATACTCTATTAACACCTCAGCTGATATGTATCCCTATAATGTCACCCACATTTCTTCCTTTGAATACTCCAAAAAAGGCCAAAAGTATAGTTGCATACAAGTATTAGTTATTATGTTCCCATTATTGATGTTGGAAAATACTTATAGTTGAACTTCAGGCAAATACATACAGAACAAACATAGACATACAGAGTCTATATAAACTAAAATTATAGAATATTTTTACTACCAATGAATAACATCACATAAAAAGAAAAAAAAAATTACAATGTGTACACAGACCACAACTAAGCCCATACCTTTGTTTTTACATGATGGAAAGTTGTTTCAATATGTATTAATAAAGACTAGTGAATCTCATGTGCTTAATTTATGATTTAATCCAATTTATAAATAAACCAAGCATGGCAAATATAAATAGATAAATGAACCAATTAACACACACAAAAAAAATAAATAAATAAGGTTTTAAGTTGTTGGATAAGATGGCATTACAGCATAATTACAGGGTTGGCAATTAAGAAACAAATTTATGACATTTTCAACTCTAACTCACAACGTAGGTGTCCTATTTTTGTACCATATGTCCCTACATGTCACATTTATCACCGCGAAGTTTCCCGTTACGAAAAAACAGTTGCTCGGGGGCAGTTTTGCATTTTCGCCCTCCGAACCCCTTTTTTTGACTAAGTTTATGACATTATCAACCCTAACTCCTAATTTATGTGTCCTACTTACATACCGTCTGTCCCTACATGTCACATTTATCACCGGAAAGCTTCCCGTTACGAAAAAATAGTGGCTTGGGGGTTGTTTTGCATTTTCGGCCCCCGAACGCCTTTTTTCGACTATGTTTGTGACATTTTCAACCCTAACTCCCAAATTGATGACATTTTCAACTCTTAAAGCGAACATATTTAAACAAAGTAAGTGTGACATTAATGAAATTGTTCTTACCAAAAAGCAAACGTCGGATGCCCAACTTAGATTCCCAAGAGTTGTGACAGTTTGGCGACTACGTTATTAAGATGCTCGACCTTTGCATTTGTCTCATCCCTTGCCTTTTGTCCCTCCTCCTGCTCTTTCAACATCTCATTGGATAATTGAATGCGCTTCTCTCGCTCTTTCAACAGTTCATTGTAACATCTCTCGCGCTCCTCTCGCTCTTTTATTAACTCGTCATGATCTTTTTGCCGCTCCTCACGAAGTGCCTCCACCTCAGCTCGCATTTCCTCCATGTCCTTATCGTGTGCTTGTGATGCAAATATGGTAGAGGGTTGTGGGCCACTCCCAAATCCAAGCAAGTACCTTTTCTTCTGTCCAAGAACTTGCATTGAAATCTCCTCCTGTGTCAATGGCGTCCCCGACTCGATGGCAGCCGCTTGTACATTGACTATCTCTTGCTATCATTTCAAATAAATAAGTCGAAAAATACTTTGGCAACATATATGTATTACTGGGTACTAAGTACAAGAAAATATTGAATACATATATTTCCTTGTCACATACTTACATGCAACTCACGATATTTCGGATGGATCCGATCATTCGTTTTCTTTGAAGTGTGGCTGTCCTCATAGAACTTTGGGAAATCCAACTCTCTATTTTTTGCTACCTGTTAACACATCAACGTATAAATCAATGATTTTTGCAGACAGATTTGTTGCAGATTTTTGCAGACATATTAGTAGTTTAAACAGATTAAGCAGATTTTTGCAGACAGATTTGTTGCAGACAGATTTGCATGATAACAGAGTTTTCTTTGCAGACAGATTTGTATAGACAAATTTTCATTAACAGCTTTGTAAACAAATGTCTGGACAGATTTGGAGACAGATTTGGAAATTTGTTGCAAACAGATTTGTAGTTTATACAGAGTTCGAATTCAAGAAGATTATCATTAACAGAATTATATTTTCCAGACAAATCTTTTGCAGATTTTTTCAAAATGACCACTGCAAAATGACCACTGCTGGATCAACCAAGATGTCATACAAGTCTGCAGAAGTGGAACTCAGGAAGCATTCATACATGACCAACAGAATCCCCACACATCTGAGATGTCTTACCAGCCATACTAACCAACCATGGCACAGCAACCCTGCTGTAGCAACCTAGTTCAGAGCATACCAGACAATACACACCAGAAAACATTCATAGATGACCAACCAACCAAGGCACACCAACCTAACTATAGCACATTGCATAACCACTAGTAGATCAGAGACAGGCAGAACAGACCAGACTATTCAGCACCATACTATTCAAGACAGCAGCAGAGGACTTAATGCAGATGTTCCAACAGATTTCTGCGAACACATTTTTCAGATTTTGTCAAACAGATTCTGTCCAACAGATTTTTGCAAACAGATTTTCCCAGATAGCCACTTATAACCACTTTAGATTATGTGTATTCTAACATGTGTTGACTTTCTAAAAATCTGTTGAAACAGATTTTTTGTACCAGATTTTTACAAACTGATTGAAATAGACCAATCAGAGTATCACTAACAGAATTTTCCAAACACAATTGAAACAGATTTTTACAAACAGACTTTTTCAGATTAGTTCAAATAGATTTTTGCAAACAGATTGTACATCATATTTATTCAAACAGATTTTGTCAAACAGAATTGAAACAGATTTTCCCAGTCAGATTTTGCGAGACAGATTTCGAATGAAAAACAGAGTATAGTCCTTGGACAGATTTCAAATGCAAACATCTGGCAAGGGTATCATTAACAGATTCTTTCCACACAGTTTTTTTTGCAAATAGTAGATGTTTAGTAACAGAGTTCACCATATATATATATATATATATATGTATCACAACATAACATTTACATATCCAAACATTACAAAGGATTCAAGTTTTAAAAAACATCAAACTCACCATAGTAGCCATTGCGATAGGAAATGAGCGAGACCCATTGGTATGATTGTACGGCAATTGACTCCTATTACTCTTGCCAGCTTTAGACCGTTTCTAAAAATAAGACAAACAGATAAACAATTTTTTGGTAAATACTAAGGCATATCACATTTTCACATAGATGTATGTACTCTATCTAGTCTATTATTTTACCTGGTGAGATGCATCTTGCCATGCCACATCGATCAAATGCTTCCAATTATCTAAACTCACCCCTACGGGCGGATGAGCATAGATGTCATCACGTGGAAGTCCCTCTAACAATTCGAACTCTTGCTTCAAGGTGTACCTCCAATCTTTGTACAACCCATGAGCCTTCTTATTCACAATCTCTTGTGCTTGTAAGTCATTGTGGAAATCGTTTCCAATTTGAAACTTGTCCTACAAGCATAACAAATTGAAATTGTAATCATTAAATAATAGTCTTTCTTATTATCATACATAATACAATTACATCTTGTGGACAAGTAATATTAGTTACAAGAACTCATTGGATGACGACAGCTTTTGTAGTCTCATCAAGATCCAGCCATGACTTCACATCTTTCAATGGGCACAAGGTTCTAATTTGAATTCCTAACTCGTTAGTTGCTGGAGTGGCATACTTGCCAGTCATTGCATTCAACTCACGATCGATGTGAACATAACATTTTTCCCCTTTCTTGGCTCGAATTATTTTTTGTATGCCTTTGCCACGTGTCGGTCCGCGTACACGTAGGGGCTTCAAAGTCCCTGTTAACAAAACAACACGAAAATTGGCTACAAATTGGGTACAAAAAAACAATGGCAATGGCAAGTGATAATTGACACATTTGATACACTTTAATCTTACCTACGCCACTCGGCTGCGTTTCAGATGGGGCTTATGTCTCATCAGAATCAACCATTGGTTCGCTAGTGGCATTATGAGATGGTCCCAAATTTGATGGGACGGGGAGAACACGAGATGGAGCAACGGTTGATCCTAAAGGAATAGCAGCTGGCGAGTCTGTTTCTAGCTGCGTGAGTGTCTTTTTCCGAAGCCGACCAGTCTTTAATCCAGGAACCATTTTCCAATCTGCCTGATGCCTGATGCTGGAACAGTGTTTTATGTTCTGGATTAAATTTGTGTCACATGAATAAACTAATAAAAATACATCACATGAATAACCTGATAAATATACATCACATGAATAAATTGAAAAATAAACTGATAAACTGATGAATAAAAGAAAATAAGGTGGCAGCAAAAGAAACAAATTGTAGTTTTCAAAAGAAACTCATGAATAAACAATGGATTGAGAGCACACTCTTGGTTATAGTAGTTTTCAAAAGAAACAAATTGTTGGACTTATTGGGATTTAGTGGCAGCAAGCCCCAGTCTGATGCATATTTCAATCTCATATTGTCTTACTTGAAGAAAAATTTATAGCATATCCACCTTGCACCTCTCTATCACAGGGCAATGGACATACGACACACTTCCGTAAATACCATCCACATTGCATGCTATCTTTATAATCATCTACTAGAATAAACAACTACACACCTGTGTCATGACCTTTGCAATTAACAAATTCACCTCTGCTACTACATACAGACCAATAAAAAACAAACTCAGAAGGATACCAAGAACAAGAAAATAACAAGTGCAACTTACCAGGGCTTGTTGGATGATCTCCCATGACAACATAGTTTAAGGCTTGAAACCTCATCTGCCTACTGCTTTTTTCATTGGGATTCGATAGGTACTTTATTAAAGGGAATCTCCAATCTTTTTCTGTCACATCCAAAGTGAGAATAGGTAGGAAATTCCTACACCTATTTTTAAGTGCAGAAAAATTTCTTTTTTGAATTCGAATCACCCTTTCCTGAGCCCCTTTAGGTATTTTTAGTCCAGAAGCTGCTTGAGCCATTTCATTAGCCTCTTTATTCTCCAGTCTAAACCTATGTGTGAATGTGATATGGTCAAAGAAACTAGTTAACAATTTGACCTCAATTAAATACTCTTCCAGAGCACCACTAACACATTTAAACTCTCCCAAAACTTGTTTAATGACTAATTGGGAATCTCCCAAAACCTGGAGGCTTCTAATCCTGAATTCTATGGCCAATTCTAGGCCAATTATCAAGGCTTCATATTCAGCTTGATTACAAGACTGTACATGTGCTTCCAACTGATATGCAAACTGATACATTTGCTTATTTGGTGCAATCAACACAATACCTGCTCCAACTCCTTCATCTGTTTTTGAACCATCAAACATCAATTTCCATGGTTCACTTTCCACCAAATTGACCTCATATAGGTCTAAATCGACAGAAGTGCCAGGATGTTTCGTTAAGAAATCAGCCAAAGCTTGCCCCTTGACTGCTTTTTGTGGCACATACTTGAGACAATACTCAATTAATGCTAATATCCATTTACCTTGTCTCCCTCTTAAAATTGGTTTAGACAACATATATTTAACGACATCTGCTTGTGCTATCACAAATACTTCTATTGGCAGCAAATAATGCCTCAATTTAATGGCTGTGAAATAAAGTGCCAAACACAATTTCTCAACAAGATTATATCTAGTTTCAGCATCATTTAACCTTCTACTTAAGTAGTAAATAGCTTGTTCATGACCCATATCATTTTCTTGAGCCAATAAGCAACCAATCGACCGGTCAGAAGCTGATATATACAATTTCAAAGGCTTTCTTGCCACTGGTGGCATAAGCACTGGTGGGTTTGTCAAGTATTTTTTAAGCAAGTCAAAAGCTTCTTGATGGCACACTTCCCACTTAAACTCATGGTCTGACTTAATTTTCACTAAAGGAGAGAATGCTAAAGTTTTCTTGGCCAAATTAGCTATGAATCGCCTCAAAAAATTTACTTTTCCAAGAAAACTTTGCAACTCTTTCTTGTTGGCTGGAGGTCTTGCCCCCAAAATGGCTTTGGCTTTATTAGCATCCACTTCTATTCCTTTGTGATGTACTAAAAAGCCTAAGAAATTTCCAGCAGAAACTCCAAATGCACACTAAGTTTTCTTGGCCAAATTAACTATGAATCTCCTCAAAAAATTTACTTTTCCAAGAAAACTTTGCAACTCTTTCTTGTTGGCTGGAGGTCTTGCCCCCAAAATGGCTTTGGCTTTATTAGCATCCACTTCTATTCCTTTGTGATGTACTAAAAAGCCTAAGAAATTTCCAGCAGAAACTCCAAATGCACACTTTAAAGGGTTCATTTTGAGTTTGTATGTCCTCATTCTTTGAAATGTCTGCTGCAAATGTTCTAGATGCTCATCAAAATTGTCAGATTTGATGGCTACATCATCTATATAAACTTCTAAATATTTTCCAATCAAATCAAGGAAAATGAAGTTCATTGCCCTTTGATAAGTCGCTCTTGCATTCTTTAATCCAAAAGGCATGACTACCCATTCAAATGTCCCTAAGGCACTAGGACATCTAAATGCTGTCTTATGTGTATCCTCTGGGTTAATAAAGATCTGATTATACCCAGCATGTCCATCCATAAAGGACAAAACCTTGCTCTCGGCTGCTGAATCAACTAACAGATCAACCACTGGCATAGGATATTCATCTTTAGGAGTTGCTAGATTCAAATTGCTAAAATCTATACACTCTCTCAACTTACCATTTTTCTTCATCATAGGGACAATATTAGACAGCCATTCAACATACCCAAGGTTCTGAAAAGCGGTTGCGGTTACTATAACAGTGGCGGTGACGCGGTTGTGGTTGTGGGGTGTAAAGGCCGTAGTGTAACGGTTGCGGTAACCGGAACAGTGAATTTTTTTATTTTTCGCACAATTTGAAAAAAACTTACCGATACGCATATTTTTTTTTCCATGATCATATTTATTGGGTTAAAAATAAATAAATGTTGATCAATTTTTGTAAATTTTTAAGTATGATCCAATATATTTTATATTTTTAAATCACTATAAACTGAATTTTTTACATTTTATTTTAATAATTAATGACTTTATATTATACAAAAAATCAATCACTAACTATTATATATAAGATAAACAATAACAAAAGTAAGAGAATAAATAAGAGCCTCAATATATATATATACCTGACTGTTCTAATAAAACCTGTATTGAGCAACCTTTCGATTTCTTCTTTAACCAATAAGATAACTTCATTAGTCATCCTTCTTGGAGGTTGTTTATGAGGAATAAAATTTCCTTTAATTGGGAGTCTATGCTCCACCAATGTTCTAGCTAATCCAGGCATCTCTTCATACGTCCATGCAAAGCAATCCACATACTCAGAAAGCAAACTAACTAGTTTGCTCTTACATTCATTTAGATAGATTAGCATTTACATAGATGGGCCTCTTACAGGCCTTACTTCCTAAGTTATATTCCTCTAAAGGGTCCTGCACGTCTGCCTTGAGATCATCAAGTTTGGCAGGAGCCGCCTTCAGATGTTCCAGTTGCACCTCTTTATAACTCAGAGGGCTAAAAATTAATGCTTGGTGTAGAGACAAAGGTACACACCCATTAAGGTGAATCCAATCCCTACCTAGGAGCACATTGTAATTAGAAGTGGAGTCTATTACAAAGAAAGTAGTTCCCATTAACCTGGAACCAACTTGAAGCTGTAAAGTTACTACTCCTCTAGCCTCAGATGATCCACCAAAAAAATTACTTATATTTACCTCAGTAGGAAGTAGGTCATCGACAGACTTAGCAATAGCTTTCAGTGTCTTAGATGGGAGAATGTTGACAATAGCCCCATTGTCTACCAACACCTTTTCCACTGATACCCCATCTAGAAAAGTTTTAACATACACAGGCCTCAGATGTTTAATAAGCTTATCTTCTGGCTTTGGAAGTACAACTTTCTCCCCATCGACAGACTTAATGACCTCGATTGATCTCAATGGCTTGGCCTGTGTCTCAACTATTGCTATCTGAACAGTTGGTTCTATCAAATCTTCAAGATCACCTGCCAAGTTATTTGGCTGGTTTGGTTTGGCCTGAAACCTCTGTGGGATGGCCATGACCATGTTACACTCCTTAGAAGGGAGTACAGAACCAAAATGAATGGCAGCCAACTTTTCTCCAAAGTCACCACCAGAATTGTCTGATTTCACCTCATCTTCTTCAACCCTTTCCCTTTCATTAACATCCTTGTTATCAATGACCATCTGCTGATCTTAACCATCTTTCATTACCACATCTTTTTTGTTATTGTTATCCTCTTCATCAGACATCAGATCTTTTTCTAACTGTTTCAGCTTTTGCCTTAACAAAGCCTTCTCTGAAAGCTTACCCACATGTCTATCTTTAGTCTCTTCTAGTCCCATTTTCCTTTTCAAAATCTGAACTAGTTGCACTGGCTGGGTCTTAGAAGTTGACCCTTTCACTTCTTTTCCTTTAGCAGCAGGAACTGCAGGAACCAATCCTTCCCTTGTCCACACTAAGTCTTGTTTTCCAGATGGTTTGTCCCCTGCAGCAGTGGACGTCATAGCATGAAACCTTCTTTGCTGTCTCCTTTTCTGAGTTCTTGTTTCTCCCTTTGGTCTCCAACCACTCATGGGAAACTTTGGATGTGACACTCCTTGCCATCCCAAATGGGATGGTATTGGAGGTTTCACCATTCTTGACTGGACTAGTTACATTTCTAGCCTTACTCTTGGGCCATGATGCTGCTGCTGATATCCTCCATATGGTCTTGCCAATTGTTGATGCCCCCCATATGGCCTTCCAAGTTGTTGATGGCCACTATGTGATGCACCAAATTGCTGCTGATGGCCATTATATGGCCTAGTCAGAACCTTTGGGTTTCCATAAGGCTTAGAACCCTTATGTTGATTGAGCATAGTCCTTACATTCCGAGCTCCAACCAAGCATGGATGAACCGGTGCTCCCTGGAATAAGAATGAAGCATCATCCTTACCATAGTCCTCTGCAGGTCCAAAACTTCCAGGATCTGTTCCATCATAGAACAAACAATCGTTATCAAAAATTTGTAAATCTCCACTTCCCATAGTATTAAACCTCAGGCCAATATCTTTTCCAATTTGTTGAATCCCATTAATCACAATAGCCTTAGTTTTTTCTTTCTCAGAACCACATCTAAAACAGATGAAACTCTCACTTGGTTCCTTTTGAACTCTTTTTCCTTTTGCTTTTTTTGCTATTTTCTCCAGCCTTTCCTTGTGAAGTTTTTCCAACTCCACCAACAAAACTCTAGGATTTTTCCCTTTTTTCTTCTGATCAGTAGCCACCATATTGATTTCCACCATACTAGGAAATGGATCAATGTCAACTGCCATTACTCCTTTATCTTTCTCAGCATATTTCAACATTCCTTTCTGAATTAAATCCTGCACACAATTGCGAAATGTAACACAATTATTAGTAGAATGTCTGAAAGAATTATGCCATTTGCAATATCCCTTGCCAACTCTGTCCCTTTCTTTAGGAATGTTGTGGCCTGGAGTTAAAGTTAAAAACTTATTTGTTAACAACTTATCAAACAATGCATCTGCTTTAGACAAATCAAAAGAATATTGTCTATGTGATATAGCCACATTCTTTTTGGCTGGTTGTGTTGCTGGCATGCTTACAGGTTGATCTGTCTTTCTTAATGTCTCACAAACCACAGGGTTTTTACCTATTACTTGGGCAACATCTATGTTAACTTCCACGTCAAATTCGACTTCTTGATAATAAGTGCCTAATGAAGCTGCATTTCTATGTTGTTCTTCTCTGAGAATGGCCTCATAACTAGTTGCCCTTGAAGACAACTCGAATAAATCCCTAAACATCATGCCTTCAAATTTTTTCCTAAGCTCAAAATCTAAACCATTTTGAGCTAATCTTATTATTTCTATTTCAGGCATGTATACATGACAACGGTTTTTTGCTTTTTTAAACCTGTCCATGTACTGCTCTGCACTTTCTCCTTGTCTTTGTTTAAATTTTGACAAGTCCACCATTGTCACTTCAGGTTCAGTTCTAAAAAACTGAGCATGAAACTGATTTTCCATGTCTTGCCAAGTGTGAACAGAGTTCTCCGGCAAGTTAATAAACCAAGTAAATGCCACTTTCGACAAAGAATGAGGAAAGAGCTTTAACTTTAAATTATCATCATAACCAGGTTCTCCACACTGGAGTATGAATCTGCCCACATGTTCTATGGTTGATTGTCTTTCCTCCCTTGTGAATAAAGTAAACTCGGGAATTCTGTAATTCCTTGGTATGGGAATTGCTTCCATCCATGGAGGGTAAAGACTCCTAAACATTGGTCTATTTGGCCTTCTCAAGTCTGGACCATACATTTCCTGTATGATGTTCATTATTTGTTGTTTATTGACTTGAGGCTCTAAGTGTTGCTATTGCTGCCCTCCTTCTTCAACCTCCGGTTGGAAGTAAGGATTAGGAGGACCAGGCCCTCTAAGCCTTGGATGCATCATGTAGAGTTCAAAATATGGCTGAGGCATGGTATAATCCCTTGCATCTTGAGGCCTTACTTGATTAAATGGCCTATTTCTCTGTTCTGACATAACCTGATAACCAGGCCTTTCAAATGCAAGATTATCATACATTTATGGCCTTAGTTGCCCCCCAGGCCTCATTCCCATATTATTTACATTGTAATTAAACACTGGATTTGTATGATATATGGAAGGTTCCCTCTCAAACATTGGATTTATGTTCATTCCCTCCTCATATCTCTCTTGGAGTGTGGGAGGTCTATAAAATGATACGGGTTCACTTTCTTTTTCATGCTGTTGAGGGGCCATTTGGGGCTTAGGTTGTGCTCTTTTCCCTTGTGCTTCCTCTTCAATCTTTCTTGATTGACTGGGCTTGATGTTGGCTTTCTCAAACAAAGTCATTAAGTCATCAATCATCACTTGGTTCTCATATGCTGACATGGAACCAATTGCTTGCTGGGCATGCAGCAAAAGAGCCCTTCTTGAATCGACTGGTAGACAACTGGATTGGCCAGCTCTGGCCATATTTTGGCCATTTCCTTGGCCTATTTCTTGCCTGGCCACTGAATGGCCATGAATTAAGTTGTCTTGTACTCTTTCAACTCCATCGTTCAACACTTCTTCATCTTCGACCCTTTTCTCAAGATCTTCAAAGACGTCATGTTGTTTCTTCCTAGACATCACTCCAAATTAGACAGGTCCCACTGGGCGTGCCAAAATATGTTAGCAAAAAATCTGGTCTGGGCCAAATCGACAGATGTGATTTGACAGAAAACCCAGAATTTCACAAACAACAATAGATCAAACAATTGTAGTCTGAACGTTCTATGCCTTGACAGATTCAAGGACTTCTTTGGAGGCTGTAATGTGAAGAAACAAGAAGGAATATACTGAAAATCAATTGTTGAACAAACAAACTTGGAATTTAATCAGTAAAATTAAACTTCCAGTTCAATGCACATGACAATCGACGGAGAATTCTTAGTTACAGAAACTAAACTACAGATAGACTACTCCTAAGTAAGAACTAAGTTAAGTTGCTCCTAATGCTATAAAGGTTGTAAATTTGTTTGAAGATCCTCCTAACTTCGAATTTCCATCTTTCATATTGCTGGTCTTCAAACTCCATTGCTGCTCTGTTGCCACGTGTCCCATCACATAGCCAACTACTTCCACTTCAGTGCCCATGATCTCTGTAACTGCCAGTAACCGCTTCACTGTTGCAGCTTCTCTTCTTCTAGGAAACATGACACGTATCCTGTATATCTTGTATGCTAACTTTATGGCTTGACACCTGGGCCATGTTTGGCCACGTTCCACTTCATTACTAGACGAATCGACAGGGAAAAACTGCAACGGCCACGTCTATCTCTTTGACCATTTCATTTCTATCACTTGCTCTGTATTCTAGGCCTCGTATTCACCCGCTTTTCACTTGTAAAGTTGTGGAAACTCGTAGCCTTTAAACCTAGCATCTGTTGGACCAATTCTTTGCATTTGTTACATACAATCGACAGAGAATATGCAATTTTTAGTGTCAACAAAATCCTAAACCCTGGATTATTCAAGGGAAAGTATCTGAAATTTGATAAAGTTAACCTGTAACAGTAAACTAAAATACTTCTATTAAACAACCAAATTTGCAATCAAAAACTTTATTTTACAAACAAATTATATATGTGATGGAACCTAAACCAAAACCCTAAACCCCGAATTACTCAAGGGAAAGTATCTGAAATTTGATAAAGTTAACCTGTAACAGTAAACTAAAATATTTCTATTAAAC